CTTGTTTTTATCTCCTAGTAGCATATTTTGAGCTCATAGCGGCAGGACGTCAGATGGTAGTAGTGTGCTCTTGTATACTGTTTATTTTAATTGATGCCATTTGAAATGGGATGATGGTTCTGTAGGCTTTAATATCCATCGAATGCCCTTGAATCTTGATTAAACGGCGACTTAACTGTTGCGGATTCTTGTAGTAATGCGAGCTGAGGTTTTGTCGCCAGTTCTTGATGCATTTTAACGTCAATTCTTTATTGGCATCAAATTCCTGACGTCCCGCGTTTACTATAATTTGCAAAAGTTGTGACTTTCGTCCGCCAGAGGTTTGTTGATCTACCAAGGGAAAGACAATGAATTCTACATTTTTTTCTTCTATATTTTGGTAGGGTTTGAAAAATTATTATATGCTCTTTACAGTTTGGCTTTACATGCACGCTCAAATTCCAAAGACACCAAATCAGTAATAAACATTTTCAATGTAAAAATTGAGAGCCTTACTATTTTACGTCAGAATCATGGGAACGGGATCGAACTCGAGGGCATTTTACATCAGAATCATGGGAACGGGATCGAACTCGAGGGCAAGGGGGCTGATACACTAACTTAGCAAACATTTCCCTATAGGATATGTATATAATTCCGTACTCAGTTTGGACTGATGATTTAGAGCCTCACTAAGACCCAATAATGTTGTTAGTATTATTATTTTTCTAATGTCGTGCTCTAAATTCCTCTAAAAATAAATTAAAAATGAAGTGCTCTAAACCACAAAAACCCAGACCCAATATTTAATCCAGAGAACCCAAAGACAAAAGGCTGACCAGAAAAAAAAGATAATTTAAATTTAAAACGTATTTTAGGGTTTTCTTTACAGCGAAAATGGCGCTTCTTAGAACGACAACGAACATGATTCTCAGACACATCCTTCAACCATACCTGTCATTTCCTCCATCAATCCGTACGACTCTGCTTCGCTCCTCCAATGGCGGAATCAGAATCGGCAGTGTCCGGTGCGCCGCGTCGAATTCGGGAAGTGGCGGGAACAAGGTGTCGGCTCGGCTCTCTCAGGTCAACCAGCTCTTGCAAGCAGCCGAGGAGCGAGCTCTCTCCGCTGACACCCAGCCCCCTCCTAAGATCACTTTAGGTCTCTCACTTACTCTAAATATTTTTCCAAATTTGCATAATTTTAAAAAAATAAATTTATAGCATTATAGTAGTGACTCACTAGATTGAGGTACTGTAGATTATATCATAATTTCTTCCTTGATTCGTTTAATTAAGGAGTTCATGGTACAAAATTACTAGTGTAAAGCAGAAGGTTTGCATTTTCTGTGTTGTAGTGTTATATTTTAGCGTTCACATAAACCATGGATTTATTTGATCAATTGTTTTTTTCTCCATATATGTATGAAGACCATGTAACTGTGAGTTTTGCAAGAAGTGGGGGACCTGGAGGTCAGAATGTCAACAAAGGTTTGTACATGTCTTTCTGTCTTCTTTGCGGGTTGGATTTTTTCTTCTTTTAACTTGTTAATGCCAAATTGTTGCTAATTTTGCTATTGATTTTACAGTGAATACCAAGGTGGACATGCGCTTCAATGTACAAAAGGCGTATTGGCTAAGCGAATGGATCAGGGAGAGGATTTTGCAAATGGTTTGTGGCTGTCATTTCTCATGGCCTTTTGTTCTCGATGAATAAGAAAAGCAAGAATTTCTGTGTAGGGAGGAGGCAAGTAGTGATCATTACATACCCTGTCATAGGTTTAAGATAGAGCGGGCACATAGAAGGGACCTCAGATGAGGAAATCCCTGCACTAGAATGTGCCTGGTTTGAAAGAGAACTGATTCCTTACCTATCAATATCTCATTTTGACTGGACATAGAGGACACTTCAAAATATCTGGATAGGAGAATTTTTTCAGTTCATCATTTTGCGAACTGATGATGTGCTAAGAGGCCTCCCTGTTCTCTCATCAATCATAATGGTTATTGGTTTTCTAAAACTCTTGCAATCTGTCATGTTTACAACTGTATGCAGGATTATCGTGATTGTTGTGGTTTCCATTTTTGTGTGAATAGCTGCTCGAATATTTTATCTCATAATCTCTTCTTCATTTGTCTTGTTTATGAACAGGAGAAGAATCGGATTAACAAGGATGGGGAGCTTGTGATTTCTTCCACAAAGACTCGAACACAAAAGTAAAATTCTTTCCTCTTCTTTTTAAATTATCAATTTTTCTTTGTTTTTCCAATGCATTGGGTTTTGATGCAACCATTCTTCCTCAGGGGTAACATTGAAGATGCTCTTGAAAAACTCCAGGTACTAATAAAAATCAGTATTTCTCTTTCTGTTCTTGTGGAATGATATATTATGGCCAGTGCTTTGATGCTTAAACATAAGTGGCTCAATTTTGGGAAAAGCATGTGCCTTGCTTTTGGCCATTCCCAAATGATTCTAATAAATTAGTGAAACAGGCAATCATTGATGCTGCTTCTTATGTCCCACCTCCTCCCTCAGAAGAGCAAAAGAAGAAGATTGCTAAAATGTGAGAACTCTTTATCTTGTGCATTCGCGAATGCTTTACCTTTGCTTTTGCCAACTGTCTCTCCACAATATCCTTTGTATTGTAAATTGTCCTTGTGTTCTGGATGGTGCGGGATCTGATTTTGTCTCAGCTATTGCCTCTGTATTTTGCAGGGCTGCTATTGGCGAACAAAAACGCCTTAAGAGCAAGAAGGTTCTTTCAGACAAAAAATCATTCAGAAGAAGTCGAGACAGTTGGGACTGACCTACTCTACGTATGGTCAGACTCACAGTTTGTTGAGAATTTTTGTATATGTCGGTACGCTTCACTCACAATTCAGTGATTTATCATTCATTTGGTTGTTACTAGTTTGTTTTGCTGACTAAAATATCTTTCCTGCACTGCATCTTTACACTTTTATCTATGTAGAGGAGAGGTCGATGCATTTGCGATTCCATGATCATATGGAGAAACAGTTCAAGTGATGGAATTTTATCACACCTTGGATTCAAGAGCAGACTGCTGAAAATACCAATTGTTGGACAGAATTAGTTCTTTTGATGTAAAATGACCATATGTCTATAGGCTTTCAAACAGAAAACATGATGACTGTTACTGGATGTACACAGATCAACTAATAGCTGCTCTGAAGATAACTCTTTTGTCACATTGTATGACATTCTCAATGTTTAGCGCTTTCTATTGGCATTGGTTGTTAATTGGTTTGCTAATCTGTACCCATTATTTTGTTTTATGAGAGCGGACAGACAGTTTTGAATTGATTGTGCAAAATGTTCTCTCTCTCTCTCTCTCTCTCTCTCTCTCTCTCCAATGTTCCAGAATCGAATTAAACGCCTCAAAGGACATTATTGAAAGAAACAAAGTACTGAAATTAAAGTCATGTGGGGTATTGATTTTGGTTGTTAAATGATGAGGCATTTCTGATTCATTTTCACGAGAATCCAACTACGTACAAGTTTAACCAAACACAAAGGAAAAAGAAAAACAATTGGGTCCAAGAGACAAATATGTACGTACACAATTGGGTCCACAGCAAAACTATGTAAAGACTAAAAAAACAAACAAAAAAATTCTGTTCTTTCAAGCAAATCACTTTCTGATAACATGTTCTTCCCCGGATTGTTGATCAAAATGCTTAACCCATCTATTCTCCCCCTTGCTTGACCCTAAATTCCCTCCACTGCTAGACACATGAGCCATATCCAGACCCTTCCCTACAGGCAAAAACACAGACCTAACCACACGTCTTGACCCACAATCAACAACACTTCTCCATCTGAAACTAGAAGCACTTCTTGAATTAGCATTTTTGCACACCAAAACTGCGCCCCTAGGGCTCAGCCTTGCCTGCCTCAAAACCCTAGCAAAGTCTTTGCGCTTAGAATCCACCACCAGAAAATCTATCCCCACAAGCCCGGCCATCACCTCCTCTGGCTCCCCAACAAGAACCTCCGGCGCCATCCCTGCCTCTTTCATTGCTGCCACAAATTCCGACCTTGACTGCTCATCTGGGACTACACACACGTGCCGTGCGCACGTGTGGCGGCTGGCGATTTCAAGCCCGATGCTTGTTGCAGTGACCCCTCCTTGCGACCATGTCTCAACGATGAACTCTGCGTTCCACCCGGCAGCCATGGCTGAAATGAGCTCTGCAACCCCAGATTCATGAAAAACCTCACACTGCAAACAAAACCCAGATCATAAGAATCCAGAAAAACAAACGAAACCCTATAAATTAAATTAATCGGCCATGAAATCAACTAAAAGCAAGAAACTTTTCAAGAAAGAATTGCTCACAGATCGAACGGTGTCGATGTAGGCCTTTGTTGCATTCTCGGGAGACCAAATCAGCTTCATTTCTGCCCAAATTCTCCTTCTGATTCTTCTTCTTCTTCTTCTTCTTCTTCTTCTTCTTCTTTTCGCTTTTGCTCAATTGGGGGGCTCTCCTTTTTTTTCCCTCAATTGGGGTTTTTTCCTATTTTGACTCAAATGGGTTGTTGTTTTTCTTCTTCGTATATCTGTCCTCCTCTCTGTTTTGAGGAAATGCTTTTCTTTGATGGCAAGCTAATAAAATCTGGGTTGTAAGAATGACAGTCCAAGTTGGCCTTTTTATTTGAGACGCAGACAGCAAAAGGTCCTACAAGAGGTTCTCGTGGACCGTTGACATTGCGCCCCTGCCGCGCATGACCAACGTGTAGATTGGTATTACATTTTTGCAATACAATGGATTTGGGTGTCTTTGTTTTTCCAACTGTTTTTGTTTATACACAATTACAGTATTAGTTGGAACCAAAGGTTTTGCCACTTGGTCACAAACCCATTTCTCCTGCCTCCATTTCTTCCTAATATTATGGGATTGAGTAATCGCTACACTAGCCAAAACTTTTTATATCCGATCAGAAGTGTTTCATATCTTCGTATCCGAATTCATTTACGAGTTTCAAACGATAATTGTTTCATTTGTTAATATCTAAGTTCCTTTTGTATCTTTCGTCCAGTTGACAATATCCGAAAAAGAAAAAGGAAAAGGAAATAGAAATCCATCATTTTGCTTTAGAAATATGTATCTGAAAATCTTTGATTATTTTCTCATTTAAAATGATGGCATCACCACTAATCACTAATGCCTTAAATCTTAATGCCTGCCCCCACACACCCACAGCCCTCTTATCACAAACTTGATTTTATATATGAAAACAGGAAACTTTATACTTGTACGGCACTAAAACGCTGTTTCTCTTTCTATTGTCAAATACCGTGTTGATAAAACAAGTGTTTTTTTTAATAAAAATTTTTAAAATAACAAATTTGATTAGATATTGAACCCATGAGTTTACAATTGTTTTAAATTTTCAACGGGTTGTTAAACCTCCCAAATTTCTAACACAATTTGACCCACAAAACAAAATATAAATGAAAACACACACCAAGTTGCCTCAGCCAGCCATGATGGTACTAATATCCACTCTCATTTAACAAGACAAACAACAAATAATGTAAAAAAATTAAAGAACATAGGATTTTAGTTAGGCGCCGTGGTTTTCCTCTTTATATAAGCGATAATATAAATTATTCTTGATTAATTTAATTTATAGAAAAAGGGGCTCGAACTTGAGAAAAACGTAATTGCAATGGGAATAACAGTGTTTTGCTATCCCAACTAATTACATTATGTCACATGCAATTCTAATTCTAATTACACACGCATGTCATTATTATAATGTTATCGGTTGAAAATAATAAAATAATACTATAGAGAGGATGATGAAGTCACTGCGTCGGTAACCTGTGAGCGCGATGAAGTCACCGCGTCCGTAAACGGCTGTGTACGAAAACCAAGAAGGCCAAAGTCAACGTCCTCCACCTGCCTTTGACGTCAAATCTTTATCACTTCATGCTTATTGGGTAGTGTGGCTGCCACGTCAAAAGTGGACCAGTTCTCTCTGCTGGAGTTGATAAAACAAGCGTTTGTTTTTATTTGATTAGATATTGAACCCATGAGTTCAAAATTGTTTCATATTTTCAACGGTTGATAATCCTCCCAAATTCTAACGCAATTTGACCCACAAAACAAAATATAAATGAAAACATACACCGAGTTGCCTCAGCCAGCCATGATGGTACTAGTATCCACTCTCATTTAACAAGACAAATAAAAAATCATGTAAAAAAAATTAAAGAATTTTAGCGAGGGAGGGAGGGTGGTTTTCGTTTTTATATAAACGATAATATAAATTATTCTAAGTTAATTTAATCTATAAAAAAAGGGACTGGAATTTGAGTTAAAGGGGATAATCTTACTCTTGTGATCTATTGGTCTAACCCACGTATAATGCATCAGAGATTGTGGTTGTGTAAAGAAGTCTCTTCATAAATTAGTTTGTCCTTTGAAATATGCAAGGCAGCGAAGTGTATGTGTGAAATTACTGAAATAAGAAGAGAGAGGATGATGAAGTCACTGCGTTCGTAAAGTGAGAGAAAAATATAGTTGCAACCGGTATAATATTATTTTGCTATTCGATTAATAACATTATGTCATAGCATTATTGATGGAGAAAAACAAAATAATGCTATAGAAAGGATGATAAAGTCACGGCGTCCGTAAAGGGCCGTGTACGAAAACCAAAAAGGCCAACGTCAACGTCCTCCACCAGCATATTGGGTGGTGTAGAGTGAAAAAGGTCTGCGCTGCGCAGGTGGTGAAGGGTTTGGTTTTCTACTTGCATAGCATTGCATTCAATCCAAAGGCTAAACTGCTTTTGTGTACTCAATTTATTTTCAAATAAGGTGTCTGGATTCTCTGTGAAAAACCATGGCTTATTTTTCAAGTAGAAAAATTCTTTGTTTCCGAACAATCTTGAACCAACACAAAGGCGACAAGCCGGAGAATTTGATTCAAGGAAGGCCAACTCTCTAGATGTTCTTGAACCAGAAAGGAAAAAAAGGGACCATTGAAACTTCTTTTTCGTGGGCGTAGAATTATTCTCTCCAAACCTTTGTTTGTCTTTGTCTTCTTCAGTAAGTCTCCCCGAATTTACATATTTACCTAATAATAATAATAATAAAATAAAAATTCATTTATGTGAGAAAGAAAGTTAGGTCATTTTTCAAGCTTGACCATTTAAAAAGAAGATATATGATTAGCACAACTTAAAGTCGGTTGCCACCCAATTAATTAGGTGAACTTTTCTCCAAATTTATAATTAAACAATAGAAGACATAACTTGGAGCACAATCAAATACAAGATTCCGCTAAGCACAGTAACTTGGCTAAGGATGCTCTTTTAGTCAACTCTAGGGTGATATGACCTCTAATATTAAATTAATCTCATGATTAGTATGTAAGAGATAATCTAATCTTGTCCTTTTTAAAATTTATTCCGGCCTCCTAATCAAAGATTTAATCTGGTGTTGATTTTCTCGTGATCATTTTCGTTGTTTGTATCTCGTGATCATTGATAGGACCAAGTTAATGACTAAAGTGGGCTGTAGCCTAGGGATGTTTTTGGGTGGAGAAAAAAAAATCAAACCTATATATTTTGCTTGTTTTAAATAAAACCCAGTATGTATTAATCTAATAAAGTCCAAAAAAGTTCAATTGTTTATGAATTTAGTTGCAATGCAGCAATAAAAATACATATTGAAATAGGTACACTTTCAATTTTGTTGTTGATTATATTTTTATTTTGATAATATCTCTTTTTTTTTTTGTTGCATTTAATATGTATTTGTTTTATGTTAAATTTTATTAAAAATTAGTCAATAAAGTTATGAACTAACGTGTTTTATATAATTTAAGTACCAAAAAAAAAAGTTCATTAGATTTTACCCTAACTCTTTAGCTAGCCCACCTGTTGAAAAGTTTCTAGTTCCGCTCTTGCTCGTGATAGTATTCGCGCATAACATTTTTATTCTTCAGAGATGACACTTATTTCATATTTTTTCACGTTTGAATTATGAGTTGACCGTTTTAGGCTTATATGATCTTATCTTGCTTCTATGGTTTTGAATAAAAGATCTTTCTCAAACAGAAAAATATATTAATCAGTCAAACAATAATCATATTTCTTAGAGGTACTAAATACAACTCATATTCCATATAGATTTTGGTGCACTGATCATCATCCAAGTCATCTACTAGGAAATCGATATCCATTCCGCAAAATACGAGTCCACCACGCACATTAC